GTTTTAAAACATTTTTATTTATTTAATTCGGTTAGAATATAGAGCCATATACTTATAGAGTATACTTCATTGCAAAGAAAAACAAATATATTTGTACATTACAAAAAACTCTGAAGATAACAAATGCATAGCAGTCTTATTGCTAAAAGACGTTTCTTGCAAATAACTATTCAGCCCATTAAAATATTGTGAAAAACACGATATTAGGTATGTTACATTGCTATTTGTCATAATTGACCAAGAATTAAATCAAATATCAGCATTTAAATACCAAAATTACTACACTACGGTGGTAGGACTTCATGTGAGTCCGCACGGGTAGGTACCAGCGCCCTGCCTATTTCTGCCGTGAAGCAGTAATGTGTTTCGGTTTGAAGGGTGGGGCAGCCGTCTTAACTATACTGAGACCTTAGAACTTATATCTTAAGGTGGGTGGCGCATTTACGTTGTAGATGTCTATGGTCTCCAGTAACCACTTAACACCAGCTGGGCTGTGAGCTCGTCCACCAATCAAAGTAATAAAAAAAGGAAAAAAAAAAACTTTTACTGATCATGTCTTTCAGTCTTTGTTTAAAAATAAAGTTAAATATAATCAATTTCATGCTTCTAAGAATATTTCACACAATTAAGAACATATTTCTTAATAAAATATAAATTTATCAATATCTTTGCTAGATACCATACACAGACAATTAGGTGGTTTATTATAAGCTTCCACAAGCCTGTCAATATATAATTTAAACTATGATGTTATAAAGAAGCAGCCTAACCATGGCATCATCATATAATATGTGACAATAATATGTACTATATTATAATTACATCCAACATGTTATTAGTGCTACTAAAAAATAAACTTGTAAGCTATAGAAATTCTTTAGCTAGCCCCTCCTGGCTGAGTCTTTGCTCGCTCACCTGTCTTGATGAAACCGGAAGGCTTCCGGGCCACCAGTAATACCTCATTCATAAAAAAAACCTTTAGCTAAGTTTTAATAATATTATCCTTATCTATTTTCTATCTATAGTGATTGGTTAGTATAAATGATAAGAGATGAAATGTAGAGTGCATGGAAACCTACCCCTAGGGATTGATTTACAAAGAAACACACCGAGCATTATGAGGTCACATAGTAAAAAGGAGAGAAATAACGCAATTTGATTTCCTTAATAAATAATATTACATTAAAATTTAGATTGCTACTTTTATTAGCCAGTTCAAATTGTGTGAAATATGCTGTTTCAAAATAGTTCGCAATTGCAAAAAATATGGTTCATAAGCATATTTTATTGCTAAAGAATAAATTTGTACAAAGCACAGCAGTAATAATCTAATTCAATCAAATGATTTCCAATTACCGATTGACTGATTTTTAATTTTATAGTAAGGAATGTTGCGTGGACCCTGAGATTAGTACAGATCTAATTACCTATAGCACAAAGTTGCCATTTAAATGTAATTGAAATTGAGAATGTAACGTTACACATGGTGAGCAGAAACATGATAGGGTATCTATGAACTGCAGTGATTATTATTATGTTAAGTGGTTTCACTGGAGTTGATGTCTGAAAATATTTTCTTTTTATTTATCTTTGGTTTAATATTTTCTTTTTGTATGCACATAATTATGTGCAAAAGACTAAACTATTTTAGTGGTTCTAATGGAATGAGAGAACGATTTTATTTACATGCAAGATTTATTCAATCAACCATCAAGGTCTTGCATCAACCTGAGATACAGTATGTAGCTACACACTAGTCTTTGGACCTATTTTAAACTTATCATTGCAAGGATCAAAATTTTGATTTGATAAAACAAGCCTTTTCGATAAAAAATTACACATATTGTAAGAAAGCCATTTAAAAAATATTTCATATCCAGATTTAAAGTCAATCAGTATGTTTTCATTATGAAACAAATTTAGTATAATTTTGTGGCAAATGCCCCTTACTCTTATTTTAATGCAAGCATTCAAAATACCAAATGTCTTAGTTAGTTCCAATTCGCTTTAAGTATATGTCCAGATGCTTATTTAGCATGTTTTAGTGACTACTTACTTGTAAAATATATCATGCCAAGGCAGATGTGATAAGATCACTAAAGCAGTGTTGGCTTTAGGGTCATATCGGCAAAAACAAAATGTATACTTGGAATCCATTGATGTCAACACAAATGAATAGTGTTGAGCAAAAGAGCTGAAATCAACAAAAATCCATAATACATGTCATGCAAATTATTTTTGGACATAAATTCAAGTTAATTTTTGCAATTTTTGCAATAAAATTGATGTTAACATGTTTTATTGTTTTTTATTACATTGTATTGTTTGTACTAGATAATTTAGGGTGTAAGCTAACCATTTCCAAAAATGAGCTGATAATTCTGATATAATCACATCAATGATTGCAATTGAAACTTATTTGTTAATGTAAAAACAATTAAATTAAACAGGGTCAAGTCTCATTCAATAAGTAATATTAACTTCACAAAATTTTATTATTTAATAAAATGTCAATTATTAATGCTTATTTTAGCATACCATTTCCTGTTTATGTTCAAATAGTATATTTCTACCAATGACAGCTCTAACAATGCTTAGCTTCCCACAAATATTTTTAATTTCACAATATCTTTTATCAAAAAATAAAGATTTAGTCAAATGACTGAATTGATGCATGTTTGATTTTATCAGTAGCACCTAAAAGTACTTACTTTTCTAATGAACACGGAAAGGTAAATTTTGGAATACTCTTAATCTCTTCTTCATTTTTATATGATTCTGGGTACTTGAATAACACATATGGTTCCTTTAAATGATCACCAGGCGATACTTCACAGAATAACTCAAATAAAAATTTTACAGTTTCTCTGAAAATGAAAAAATACCATTGTAATGAATTAAGCTTCCCAATCTGTGGGCTGTAAGATAATGTAAATAAAAATAATTTACTTAAATGAAATATTATATCTAGTGTTTTAAATTAAATTTGATTTAAAGAAATACTGATTTATTAAAATTTCCCATTATTTAAAGTAATTATATATTAATGCATTTTATAATATTGTGTGCTATAAAACTTCACAAGATAACATGACTTTAGCTTTAGGATTTACTTTAGCTTTTCATTTTTACACTTTAGATGATAATTATCACAGAATAATAAAAAACAGAATAATAAAAAATAGAATAATTACTGAGTTACAGAAGTAAATTTTGACTCAAAATCAATGAATGGAAGTTTTTCTGTACAGGAAACCATAACGATATCCAAGTTTATATTTTTTGCAAATAGATAGTTACAATAATTCAAACTAGTATGTAAATAAAATTGAAAGCAAGATGGAGTGATTGTGCACCTCCTCCTAATAGAACTAAGCCTGGATCTCGAACTGAACGATTGTTATTATTTTCAATTGGTTTGAAGTACGTACACAAAGGGGACGAGTTGTTAAGCGAATTGCTCACAATTACCTTACTCTGGAACCCATGTCTCGACGTGGACTGGAAATTTTGATTACATTTTAAGAAATAAACTGACAACAACTTGTTTGAAAATTCACTTATCATGAAACATCGCAAGCCATAGAAGACTACTTCAGGTTCGTGAATATCATTTCTTGATGATTTTATATATATTTCCAAACTGTTACGAAAGACTCGTTTCGATCTTACTCAGTGTCTATGTTTCGTGTTTCGCAGAGTTCGCAGTTCACACTTCACAGAACAGTCCACAGATTAAATACTTGATAAATAGACATTTGAAATGATTTTGACAGCACAACTGCCAGCTCGTCTCTCAAGTGCTCTCAAGTCAAGCAAGGACAAATATCTTTTATCTTTTTTTTTTATTGCTTAGATGGGTGGACGAGCTCACAGCCTACCTGATGTTAAGTGGTTACTGGACATCTACGACGTAAATGCGCCACCCACCTTGAGATATAAGTTCTAAGGTTTCGAGTATAGTTACAACGGCTGTCCCGCCCTTCAAACCGAAACGCATAACTGCTTCACGGTAGAAATAAGCGGGGCGGTGGTACCTAGCCGCGCGGACTCACAAGAGGTCCTACCACCAGTTTTCATTCGAGTTTTCACCAATTTGCTAACTCTGATTTGACAGTTGACATAACGATTTTTTTATACCGTACTACACACTAAAGTATAGGATGGTACTACATCATCAAATACCATGGAGTTAATAAGTACGGTACCTACAAAATACATGAGACACCATGGAGGATAGAACTAAGGAGTACCACCTTGTATAAAAGGAAAAGTTGCAATATTTTAAGGAAATATAATAATATGATGTCATAAATCGTCGCCATTTTTCCACTGTGAACATTAATGTTTCGAAGGTGCTGTCAGTGCTTTGATCATGTGATCACTTTTACCGTGCCTAACCTCGTTTTAATAAATCTGTTATTAGGTTAATACACATTAAATTAATTGAGAAACAATATTTTCTTTTACTAAAAGTGTACTTACTTTTAATAAGCTATTAATTCAACTAACAACTAACTTGAATCTTAAATTTTTAAATACAACTAAATCTAATTATTATTTTTTTGTTGAGGTTTAAAAAATTCTCAAATACATTGATAGCAGTATACTGTACTGCGTTTCGTTTTAAAGAGTGACTAGTATAGCTAAATAAAGGATAATATAAAGGAAGCGTTCTTCAGTACACTAAATTGACGTCACAACTTACAGTGCTCGCAGTGCATATCGTATCATAGCCGAATTGTGCTAGTATATGGCGCTGTTTTTTTAATCTTTCCACTTGTACTATGGCGCCACCTTAATTGGTTCCCTTTCAGCGAATACTTTTTAATATACTGAGATTGTATTACTTAATTGTATCCTCCATAACATAGAAACAGTCATAAATCTTGCCTAAACCATTACTTCTTGATTGAAGTAGTGAACAGGACATTGATAAATATACATAGGTATTCAAAATACAAATAAGACTCAAGATAAAGCTCTTGTTTACAGGTTTAGGAATTTCAATAACTGATAATCATGTTGGCCTCTGTTTTAAATGCCGCTATGAGGAACTGCATCTTTTCCGCGATGTAGAAAGAAGTGGACGTTACCGGCAAACACAAACCTGGAAAAACCAAAAACGAATCCATAAACTGGCGCTCGAATAGCCTCTTCCCAGCGATAGGTAAAGTGTACAAACGACTGATATGTAAACGCTTCTGTAGTTTTATCACCTTAGAAGGCATAAACGAAAAGCTCAGATTCCGCGCCAAGCATTCATGCATCAAAAAAGTGCAACAATCCCTAATTAACTTGAGTATATTTATGTATTAAATAAACCATTTATTTAAGGCAGATATTGTATATAAGTATATAATATGTACTTAAGTTCAGTTAATTTATTAATTGTTTCGGTAATTCATTTATGCGTGTCATAGATAATATCCATCGAAAACGATTGAAAATGACTTAACGACGTCGCCATTTTGTTGTCACTAGTATCGAGTGAGACGCCGCGCCGCATTGTTCATATGTCGAGCGGAGTTATTTTCGTCTGTTTTTCTTGACAAAATGAAAATCAAATACTACTTAATTAGATTAGCTTACTGAAAAAGCTACTAATAAGACGCCAGAGTATTGTCTGTTTGGCATGGCAAAATTTTGTTGCGTCTAACCAATGATGTTATTAGCATCATTGCGTATAACAATGTGTTCTCAAGATTTAATATTATTTTTCCAAGAATTTCAATGAGGCTTCCATTTAATAAGGACAATATTCGATGATTCATTTTAAAATAATATTACAGTATTTTAGTTTTATCTTTCAGCTCTAGTTTTTTAATTGCCCAAGATAGGCAATTATTGAAATTATGATTTTAGACCTATAAATAAAATAAAATAAGCGTATTTACTAATTAAAACATTTACTGCTTTTTTTCATGAATAGCTTCGACAATCTTTGTTATTTACATTTCACTTTAGTCATATCTGTCGGCCTAATCAATGTTGACAAATATCGGAGTTATGAAGCATGATACGTCACTATTGTAAAACAGCATCCATGAAGTAGCAAACCTATTCAAAAGTAAATGACTGGACGTATCCTAGTGTCACTTACTCTGAATTAACGCGACCTACATCAAAGTAGCGTGTGTAGTAATAATAATAGTTTAATTCGCTCAATCTTCTATACTTAATATTATAAAGAGGAAAGATTTGTTTGTTTGTTTGTTTCGAATAGGCTCCGAAACTACTGGACCGATTTGAAAAATTCTTTTTCCATTAGAAGCCGACATTGTCCCTGATGAACATAGGCTACTTTTTTAATATTTTTTTTATATTTTTTTTTTTTGTTTCTAGTGTGTTTTAATGTTTCCGAAGCGAAGCGAGGGCGGGTTGCTAGTTTGTTAATAATCTTCATTACTAATCATTCTAGTAGGGGACGAGCATTACATAGTAAATAAAGTATTATTTTTTTATGTTTTCATTATTTGTCTATGTATTATTCACGCGTTAAAGTTTCACTTTTCGAATTATTCATGATTACTACACATCCATACTGAGGCATACTGTATTGACTGACTCGGTGGCGCAGCGCAGTAACGCAGTAGTTAGTAGAGCTCTGACTGTTGCACCGAGGGTCATGGGTTCGACAACATTATGTGATGAACAGGTTTGTTTTTTCTGGGTGTTTAATTATCTATTAAAGTAATAGGTTGGGGAAAAAGTTCCTTCACATTTTTAAAAAAAAATCACAACTTCTTTAATATAGTTTATTTAAATTTAAATAAAGTAGGGTGACTTTGGCGGGAACGCGAGGTGTCAAGTTGTGCGATTTGTTTTATTTTGTTTATTTAGTGTTTCTTCAGGTTTAAATGTGTAATAGTTGTTTATTAACCGTTTAATATCTGTGAAAGTGCACAAATGTGGGAAAATGAAACAAAGCCGTTGGACGTCGCTTCTCGGGATCCTCCAAAAAGTCCACTGAAAAAATCTCAGTAAACGACCACCATTTTACTGAGATTATATTTCATCCCATATCATCTCAACTCATTTCATTTCATAGTATCATAATTCTTAAAATAAATCAGTAGACGAGCTCACGGCCCACCCGGTATTAAGTGGTTACCGGAGCCCATAGACATCCACAACGTAAATGCGCCACCCACCTTGAGATATGAGTTCTAAGATATTAGTATAGTTACAACGGCTGCCCTACCCTTCAAACCGAAACGCATTACTGCTTCACGGCAGAAATAGGCAGGGTGGTGGTACCCACCCCACAAAAGGTTCTACCACCAGTAAATTTCGGGGCTTCTGATCAAAATACCGCGACAATTGATTTTGGCAGTCTTCTCGTGATGTTAACCTGACAATGCGTAAAGAATTCTGAAGAGATCGAAACAGGTGGAAATCTGAAGGTGCAAGGTCAGGACTATACGGCAGATGCATTAACACCTCCCAGCCAAGCTCTCTTAGGTCTAGCGTTATCATGATAAAAAACCACACCCCTTCTGTTGATTAACTTCGGCCGCTTTCTCTCAACTTCTTTCTTTAATCTCATCAGTTGTTCGCAATAGAGTTCAGAGTCGATGGTCCTGCCTGGTGGTAACAGCTCATAATGAATAATGCCCTTTCAATCCCACCACACACACAGCATCACCTTGTTGCGAGTTAACCCGGGTTTCGCCAGTCTGTGAAGCCTGACCGGCCTTTGACCACGACTTCGCACGTGTTCTTGTCGTACGTGATCCACTTTTCATCACCAGTTATCAGCTTGTTAAAAAATGGTTCGGTTTCATTACGTCGTAATAAAGAATCACAAATGAGTACACGGTTCATTCGGTTTCTTTCAGTGACCTCATGAGTTACCCAAATTTCGAGCTTTTTTGTGTACCCAGTTTTTTTTAAAATGCGCCAAAACTGTTTTGTGGTCAATTCCCAGTTCTTCAGCTACGTCGTAACTACTGATATGCCGATCTTGCTCCACTTTTTCAAAAATGACATCCATTTTATCCGTAATAGGGCCAAATTTGTGCTACTCTCACAGACACTGCACTATATAAGTCCATAAACATCGCAAATTTTTTTCGAGGCTTGCGTTGCATTTAACCTTTTTTGTAGTAAAATGTATCGAATTTCTTCATTAGATTCACTCATCTTGATAGTACGAAAAATAAATACAAATCACACATTTTCCTTATTTGAATTTGGAATTATCTTCTTTAAAATTTAAACTTTTAATGATACCAAAACCAGGCAGATACAAATAGTATAGCCAAAGAGATTTTATTTTTTATTACAAGTTCATACATACTATAATGCGATAAGACATTTTCCCCAACCTATTATATAAGTATGTTTATCAGTCTCTGTTACCAATAACAAAGGGAATCCTAAATTAATTAGGGCCGGATGAACATGCGTGATTTATTTAAAAAAAGAGAATAGGTGACCTCCCTATTCAAAATGACCATAATGATTACTTTTATTTAAAAATAAAATAAAAAAATGAGGGAAAGGTTCATTACATAAAAAAAAAGCAACTATTTTTGGTGGTGATATGGAGATAATGCCTTACCATACGATTTATGTTAACAAAACGTTATTCGTGAGTAAATTAAATTAAAGTAAATGAATCTTAAGCTTTAACAGCTATGGAGTTATGTAGGAATGATTAAAAACAAATATATCAATTTTAACTTTATTCAATAATGTTATTCGATAAATTTCGCCAAATTAATGTTATACGTCGTTACATCGGGTACAATGATAAAAATATACACAATGGAGCACGTGTAAAAAATAAATCAATTCTTAATTTCTTTAAATTTCACATTTCGATCATCAACTTTTAGCTTATTGAATTAAAAAAAAAAAACGTAGCGTGCTATTAATCGCATAATTATGCTTGTTGTCGTGTATGGCATAATTGTGCAGACTCTTTCTTTCTATTCCAATTTCGCGCGGACCGGTAGGTGAGCTTATGGGCTCAACCTGACAGAATTGCTAACACTTGCCCTAGCAAGAGCAGTGCTTCGCTGAATCTATTACTGGATCGGAATCGTGACCTACTGAGAAGATCCGGCGAGAAACTCAGTGGGTTGTGTCTATGGGCTAGTTCGCACGTCGGAGTCGACGAGGACGGTGACCGGTGCTTGAAGAACCTAAAAGCACCGAGAGTGGATCTGGGTGATCCGAATGTGCGGACCTAGTTATGTTAGAGCAGCACTATGTAAAATTGGTATTAATGTTTTACGTTTAGTAGCGTTTACGCTTAATGACATCACACAACGCTAGCATAACGAAAACATGATAAAACATGACGAAACTGCTTCTTAGTAGAAATACATATTTTAAACTATAAATATTATTAACGTTTTTAAACAAACTTAGACTTTATTAACCTATTACGACGGTTGAAACTAGTTATGGGTCTGACTTCTGAAAGTCAAATTGTACTTTTTTTCTGCATTAGACACGTACATACATACTTAACACGATTCTACAAAAGAATTCGTTCTTTGTCCTAAAGTTTATCTTATAATTTTCGGTTAATTATGCATATAAACGAAAAGAAAACACATTTTTTGTTATAAAGTTTGCTTTTGTGAAAGTTATACCTACTAATAATACTCATTTTTGAATTGCTTAATAAATTTTAATGCATTGGTAATGATTGGTAATAGAGTTTAAATGTGTGTTGTGTCTAAGAAAACAATTACCCAAGTACCTGCGCTTTCACGCGAGCATTACGCAATTTGTTACCATATTGCTCAAAGTGCTACGACTTAGACCAAATTTATCAATTATGATTTGATAATATGTATTCATTAAATACAATTTAAACAAATTGAAAATACAGTCTACCACATCTATGGAAGATATTCATGGTTCCTACCTTTCAAATGTGCCTATGGCAGATAAACGACCAATTTTAGGAAAAATTTAATAATAATTCTATTTTGTTATAATTTATTTATTAATCTTGAGGTCGATGCCCTAAGCAACATTCATACAAGCTTTACAGCTTACACGAATTCGTATGGAAGAAGTAGCGCCGACTAATTTTTTTTGGAGGGATTCAAAGGTAACTACATATTTGTCCGAAGACCTTTCAGGCTT